CTCAGCCTACTGAGTAGCTGGGATTAGAGGTGCACGCCACCACACTTAATTTTTTTGTGTTTTTAGTAGAGATGGGGTTTTGCCATGTTGCCCAGGCTGGTCTCAAGCTCCTGGTCCCAAGTGATCCACCTGCCTTGGCCTCCCAAAGTGCTGGGATTACAAGCATGAGCCACCATGCCCAGCCAGAGTTCTGATGAGATCTAATGGTTTTCTAAGCATCTGGCATTTCCCCTGCTTGCACTTCTCTTGCCTGCTGCCATATAAGATTTGCCAACTTCCCAATTCACCATGATGGTAACTTTCCTGAGGCCTACACAGCCACGCAGAGCTGTGAGTTAATTAAACCTTGTTCCTTTATAGATTATCCAGTCTCAGGTATTTCTTTATAGCAGTGTGAAAATGGGCTAAAACAGTAAACACAATGGGGGTACAGGCATTGGGTAAAAGTTTCCATTCCAAATGGGAGAAATTGGCCAAAACAAATGGGCTATATGCCCTATGCAAGTCCAAAACCCGGCTGGGCAGTCATTAAATCTCCAAGCTCCAAAATCTCCTTTGACTTTATGTGTTACATCAAGGTCATGCTGATGCAAGAGGTGGGTTCCCACGGTCTTGGGCAGCTCTGCCCCTGTGATTTTGCAGGGTACAGCCTCCCTCCCGGCTGCTTTCACTGGCTGGCATTGAGGGTCTGTGGCTTTTCTAGTTGCACAGTGCGAGCTGTCAGTGGATCTACCATTCTGGGGTCTGGAGAATGGTGACCCTCTTCTCACAGCTCCACTAGGCAGTGCCCCAGTGGGTACTCTGTGTGGGGGCTCTAACCCCACATTTCCCTTCTGCACTGCCCTAGTAGAGGTTCTCCATGAGGGCTCTGCCCCTGCAACAGGCTTCTGCTTGCACATCCAGGTGTTTTCATACATCCTCTGAAATGTAGTGGAGGTTCCCAAACCTCAATTCTTGACTTCTGTGCAACTGCAGGCCCAACACCATGTGGAAGCCACCAAGGCTTGGAGTTTGCACCCTCTGAATCCATGGCCCCTTTTAGCTCTGGATGGAGTTGGAGTGGCTGGGATGCAGGGCACCAAGTGCCAAGGCTGCACAAAGCAGCAGGGCCCTGGGCCTGGCCCATAAAATTATTTTTTCCTCCTAGGACTCCAGGCCTATGATGGGAGGAGCTGGCTTGAAGATCTCTAACATGCCTTGGAGAAAATTTTTCCCATTGTCTTGGCTACTAACATTTGGTTCCTGGTTACTTATGCAAATTTCTGTAGCCCATTTGAATTCTTCCCCAGAAAGTGGGCTTTTCTTTCCTACCCCATGGTCAGGCTGCAAATTTTCCAAACTTTATGCTCTGCTTCTCTTTTAAACGTAAGTTCCAATTCTAAACCATCTCTTTGTGAATGCGTATAACTGAATGCTTTTAAGAGCACCCAGGTCACATCTTGAATGCTTGGCTGCTTAAAATTTCTTCTGCCAGACACCCTAAGTCAACTCTCTCAAGTTCAAAGTTCCACAGGTCTCCAGGGTAGGTCAAAATGCCACCAGTCTCTTTGCTAAAGCATAGCAAGAGTGACCTTTGCTCCAGTTCCCAATAAGTTCCTCATCTCTATCTGTGACCACCTGAGCCTGGGCTTCATTGTCCTTATCACTATCAGCAATGTGGCCAAAACCATTCAACAAATCTTTAGGAAGTTCCAAACTTTCCCACATCTTCCTGTCTTCTTCTGAGCCCTTCAACCTGTTCCAACCTCTGCCTGTTACTCAGTTCCAAAATTGCTTCCACATTTTCAAGTTATCTTTATAGCAGTGCCCCACTACATTGGTACCAATTTACTGTATTAGTCCATTTTCACACTGCTATAAAGAAATACCTGATACTGGGTAATTTATAAAGGAAAGAGGTTTAATTAACTCACAGTTCCACATGGCTGGTGGGGGTGGCACAGGAAACTTACAATCATGGCAGAAGGGGAACCAGGCACATTTCACATGGTGGCAGGTGAGAGAAGTGCAAGCAGTGGAAATGTCAGATGCTTAGAAAATCATTAGATCTCATGAGAACTCATTCACTATCATGAGACCAGCATGGGGGAAAACCTTCCATGATCCAATCTTCCTCCCTCACTTGACATGTGGGAATTACAGCTTCCTCCCTTGACACGTGGGGATTGCAATTCAAGTTGAGATTTCGGTGGGGACACAGAGCCAAACAATATCACATGTTCACTGCAGCATTGTTCACAAAAGCCAAGAGGTGGAAACGTGTGTCCATCCACAGTGATACGGTTTGGATATGTGTCTCCTCCAAATCTCATGTTGAGATGTGATCTCCAGTGTTGGAGGTGGGTCCTGTTAGGAGGTGTTTGGGTCATGGTGGTGGATCCCTCATAAATGGCTTGGTGCAGGCCTCGTGGTAATGAGTGAGCTCTCATTCTATTAGTTCATGCAAGAGCTGGTTGTTTAAAATAACCTGGCATCTCCTCCCCTCTCTCTTGCTCCCTCTCCTGCCATGGGACATGCTTGCTTCCCCTTCACCTTCCATCATGAGGAAAACCTTCTTGAGGCCTCCCCAGAAGCCCAGCAGATGCTGGTACCATATTTCCTTTACAGCCTGCAGAACTGTGAGCCAAACAAACTTCTTTTCTTTATAAGTTCCCCAGCCTCAGATGTTCCTTTATAGCAATGCAAAATAAACTAACACACATAGATTAATGGATAAAGAAAATGTGATATACACACAAAGTGGAATAATAATCACGGGTAAAAAAGAAGAAAATTCTGACATATGCAACAATATGGATGGGCTTTGAGGACAATATGCAAAGTGAAATATGCCAGTTCCAGAAAAGGAAATAATTCTCCTTTTATCAGGTACCTAGAATAGTCAAACTCATAGAATCAAAGAGGAATGGTGGTCACCAGGGGCTGGCAGGAGGAGAAAACAGGGAGTTAGTAATCAATGAGCATAATGATCCAGTCAGGTGGCTGGGTGCAGTGGCTCACACCTGTAATCCCAGCACTTTAGGAGGCCGAGGAGGGTGGATCACCTGAGGTCAGGAGTTCGAGACTAGCCAACATGGTGAAACCCTGTCTCTACTAAAAATACAAAAATTAGCTGGTGTGGTGGCATGCATCTGTAATCCCAGCTATTCGAGAGGCTGAGGCAGGAGAATCGCTTGAACTCAGGGGGCAGAGGTTGCAGTGAGCCGAGATCATGCCACTTCACTCCAGCCTTGGCAAAAGAGTGGAACTCCATCTCAAAAAAAAGAAAAAAAAAAAAAAGAAAATCCGATCAGGCAAGACAAATGAGCTCAAGAGATCTGCTGTACAGCAGTGTCCTGTACAGTCAACAATAATGGATTGCACATTAAATATATGTTAAGAGGGCAGGTCTCCTGCTAAGTGTTCTTACCTCAGTAAAGAAAAAAAAAAAAAAGAGGAAAAAAAAAGAAAAACACTGGTGCTGATGCTGGGGCAACCCTCAATTTTAACTTGGTTGTCCTGGGGTGGGGCCCAGGCAGATAGGGTGGACATGGTGCAACTAGACACTTTCATGGCTGTGCTCTGCACTTAGTAGTAATTACTATTATTTATTGAGCACCTGGGGTACTAAGCATTTTGTTGCTGTTTCATTGAGCCTTCCTAGTACCCTGTGAAGTTGGTATTGTCATCCCCACTTGAGAATCAAGGAAACAGAGAGTGAGTCCACTTTCTTTAGGTCATCCAGCTGGAAGTCACTAGCGCCTGTGTTCAGCCCTGGTCAGCCTGACCCCAAAGCCGGTGCTCTAGCTCCTGTGCTGCACGGCCTCCAAGCCTGGGCCCCTGTGAGGCACAGACATAGGCACCTCATGCCCTTTCTTTCCATTTCTCTGCCCTTTAAGTTTTAGGGTCAGTAGTGTAACCTTTGCCCTGCACTTGTCCACACTGAATGGCCATTATCCAGGTGGAGAAGGGATTGGTTTGTAACTCAGCATTAAGGAAGAACTTTCTGGCACTCAAAGGAGCTCCATGGTGAGATGGGCAGCCTGGAAAAGCAGTGGGCAACCACCACCATCCCTAGGCACCCACCACCATCCCTGGACACGCACCACCATCCCTCCACATCCACCACGATCCTTGGGCACACACCACCATCTCTGGGAATCTACTACTATCCTTGGGCTCTTAACACCGTTCCTGCACACTGGGACCACCATCTTTGCACACTCACCTCTGTCTCTGGGCACCCACTGCCATTCCTGAACATCTACCACCATCCCTGGGCACCGACCAACACCATCCCGGCACATCCATCACCATCCCTGCACATTCACCACCATCCCTACACATCCACCACTGTCCCTGAACAGCCACCATCCCTGCACATCCATCACCATCCCTGCACATTCACCACCATCCCTACACGTCCACCACTGTCCCTGAACACCCACCATCCCTGCACATCCATCACCATCCCTGCACATTCACCACCATCCCTACACGTCCACCACTGTCCCTGAACACCCACCATCCCTGCACATCCATCACCATCCCTGGGCACCCACCATTGCCCCTGTGCACCCACTACTATCCCTGCACACACCATGAACTCTTGGCACCTACTACTGTCCTTGCACACCCACCACTGTCCTTGCACACCTGCTACCATCCCTGGGCACCTACCACTGGGCACCCACCACCGTCCCTGCACATGCATCACCATCCCTGGTGTCCCCCACTGTCCCTGGGAAATCATCTGAAAGATCTGTTGGGAGAGGAAGTGTCATCCTTCAATGTAGTGTGTGTGTGTGTGTGTATGTGTGTGTGTTTGGGGGGGATGGGGTAGAGAGGTGCAAGGGGGCTGGGATTAGACACCCCTGCTCTGCCTCTGGGCCCTGAGTTGAAGGGCTCAGGTGGGCTAGTCAAAGCTCCAGGCGGAGTTGTTTGTGGAAGATGAGCTCACAGAGCTGGAGTTCTAGAAGGCCCTCGGTTGACCTGGAGCCTGCCTTCTGCATTGTTCTCTTAACACTGGGTGCCTGGGGCCCTGGCGAGGTTGTGGGGGGCATCCTGAGCTGCAGCAGGGTTTTGGGCCACTGCTGCTGCTGCCATTGTCACCATGATCTCAGCTCTGTGGGGAGCACTCAAGATCAGTGAGCCCCCTTTCCCTTCTTCCTGGGGCTGTTAACAGGGCCCTGGGTTGGTCTGGCCAGAGAGGGGTGGAGTAAAACAAGGTGGTGGACACCAAGGATGGGGGTGTCCTGGCCTGGAAGACTGATCAGCTGAGAGAGAGAGAGAGACAGAGAGAGAGAGAGAGAGAGAGAGAGAGAGAAACTCTGGAGCTGCTGTGAAATGGTCAGGATGGAATTGCTTTTAAGTCACTTTTCTACAAAAACAGTCCCTGTGTAACAGATAATTTGGTTTCCTCGTTTACAACTTAGGGATATTAATCCCACTCCTTTCAATTGTTGAGAGGATTGGATGAGATTAAATTAGAAAAGCTCTGGGAAAGGCCTGGCATGGTGCTCAAAGACTTGACAAACTCCACCAGGTTGGTCACTCCCCTCGCGGTGAGGAGAAGGACTTATGTCCCTGTGGCCACGCCTTTTGTGAACTTGAATTTCAGAAGCAGCCCCTGAGCGGCGACTCCATGCCAGCAACTCTGCAGATAAATAAAACCGGCTGCCGTTCTTCAGAAGTTAACTTTGTGGTGGGAAAGACTGACATCTATTCCAGCCTGGTGTGACAGAGGAGGTGGAAGATGTGGCGTGTGAGAGTGTGGGGGGCGGTGGCCTGCCAGGAGACTCTCACTGGGGAACCCCCCTCTGATGAGACCCTTCAAGTCAGAGTTAATCGTGTAGAGGAAAGGAGAGGGTGAATGTTCTAGACAGCAAGGTCATTGTGAGAGAACAATTGCTGGAACATAATGTATGAGTGAGGGAGTGGGCCGCAGGGCTGGGCCGTGAAGGGTCGTGAAGGGCTGCGTGGACCTCGAAGGGGCAGTAACAGTGGGAGTCATCCAAGGTGTCACAGGGCTGGGCTTTTCATGTAACCAATTTGTTCTAATGGACGTGTATAGAATAGCTTGGAAGAGTCGTCAAGACATGGTACAAGAAGACCATGAAGGAACCCAGTGTGACCCTAGGAAAGGACGGTGCTCTGACAGGGAAGGTGGAATCCACAGGACGTTGGGACTGGTTGGTTGGGACTGGGTGAAAGATGTCATGGGGAAGGAGTGAAGAATGGCATCCATATTTCTGGTTTGGGTAAGTGGGTGGCCCGTCATGTTTTAAAGCACATAAGGAAAGTTGTAAGGCAGAAGCAGGCAGTGATGGGAACGGTGGTTCTGTTCAGATGTGCTGAGTTTGAGGTGCCTGCAGGAATTCAAGTGGATGTGTCCAGCCAGTAGTTGCCTGTGAGGTCTTGGGGAAGATGCCACAGGGGTTGCCAGCCTACAGGCGGTGGCTGACAGCAGGGCTGCCCAGAGGGTTTCCTCAAAGTGGAAGAGAAGAGGGCTCAAGGCTGGAAGGCCTGGAACGCATATCAGCGGTTATGGCCTGGGCAGAAGTGGATTCCACAGAGGATAAGGAGGAGAGTCAGCCAGAGAGGGAGGAGAAAACCTGGGAGAGGGGAGCATCGTGGAAACCAGGAGAGGCAAGCCTTTCAACAGGGGGTGGTGGACAGCATGAGTGCGGCTGAGAGCTCCCATAAGACAGAGCCGACGGGGCCTCCTTGGACCTGCAGAGCAGTTTCAGCGTGCGGTGGTGGCGGGGAGGGCAATTCACCAGGTTGGAAAACAAATGCGAGGGGAGAAAGTGGTAATTTTCCCCAGGAGTTTGGGTGAGAGGAGGGGGAAAGACAGGGGAGTACCAGTCAGCAAGAGACTTGAGGGAAGGCATTTAGAAGCTGGAGACTGAGCAAGTCTCTAGGAGCAGGGGAAGGAGGAGCAGGAGGGGAACGGTGCTGGCGCACTGGGAGAGGAGGGACAATGAATGGAGCAAGACTTGGAGACGGGAAGGACAAATCTAGAGCTTGGAGGGAAGGAAGGTGGGCTTGCATGGGGGTGGAGGCCCCGCACCCAAACAATGATGGGGCGCAGATGAGGGCGAGGAGGCTACTGATGAGTTTGCAAGTGAGTGAGGCTAAGGCAGAAAGAGAAAGAAATTCCACAAGTGAGCACCTTGCTTTTTCTTAGCGCATCGGGAGACAAGATCATGTTCTGGGAGCCAAGGACAGTATGGTGTGCTCAAGGACTACACCGAGGGTTTTCATTTCCTGTGAGGGAAACGGGAGAGAGAAATCTGAGCAGAGACAAGCGCGTGTACCAGTGCTAGTTGTAGTTCATAACAGAAACAACAATTCACTTATTTTTAGTGCCAAGAGCTAAGCTGTGCCCACGCCTTTTCTCATTTATTCTTCCAACAATCGTATGAGGCAGGTGTTACTCACGTCCTCATTTTATAGAGGAAGAAACAAGGCCCAGGGAGGGCCCAAAGTCAGAGATGGAGCAAGGAGCAGAGGGGGGCTTCCAACCCCAGCCTTGCTGCAAAGCCACGCCCTCAACCACTGTCATCCTCGGTGGCATTCAAGGTCCCGTGGAGGTTGGAGACCAGGGACACCCATTGGCACAAACAAGAGTTTGTACAACTCTTTCACTTTTTGACTCTGTGAAGGCGGAGAGCAGGTGTGGAGGCGCAGAGCTCAAGAGAGGCATGGGAAGGCTTGTCAGAGGTGGTGGGCAGTGGGATAGGAGCTCACAGAGGTGGGAAATGTGGGTGAGGACGAGAAGCAGGGATGACAGGGCAGGGGAGGGACTGGTTGAGACACAGTGGAGCCAGAGGGGACTAGGTCTGGGGAGGTGAAGGAGCCTGAGGCTGTGACACCCAGATGCTAATGTCCTCCATGATTTGGGGGACTGGCCACACACAGCCAGCGATGAGAGGGCATGGAGGTCAAACCAGACAGGCAGGCTGGCCTTCCAGGGAGAAGGGCTTTTTGCAGGTTATGGTTCAGAAGGGGTGGTGGGGGTGGAGGAGACTCTTGGGACATCTTGGGGCCTTGTGTGTGGAGAAAGAACAGCTTCCCCTTGAGCGGGCTATAGGGGAGCAGTGTTCTGGGGGAGACCTTGTTTCAGTTAAGATCTGGAGATGGAGGGTCAGTGCCAGAAGGGCTGTCCCTTGACAACTGGGCTGAGGGGCCCGTGAACACGATATGACACCACCTGGCCATCCCCTCCGGGAGCATCTGCTCAGCGGGGCTTTGGATTTATAGAACTTTGTCTCCATCCAAACTTTTCCCCTTCCTAGTTGTAAACTCTTGCGCCTCAGGACTAAATAATGTGTATCGTGTAATATGGAGCTCACAATAGGTCAGTTTTCTTCCCGGTTCGGACTGGGGTGGTGTGAAGCAGGATGGGGAAGGAGAGGGGCTGGTCTCGGGGGCAGGGCTGATGCTGATCAGGGATGTAAGGGGGCTGATTCCTGCTGCTGGAGCCTGGCCTTCTGCCCACCCCTTCTCTCCTCTCCCTTTTCCCAGGGGTACACTCAAGCCCCGTTTCTTCTCCTTCTGTGAGTGGACCGCCAAGGCTGGTGAGCTGTGGGTCATCCCAAAGCTCAGCTCTGAGCCCGAGTGGTGGCTCCAGCTCTACCACCGGCACAGAAGCCAGGAGCAGGGCTCTCGGAAGGCGGTGGTGCCCAGCTACGATCATGTTGTTGGCCCTGGTCTCTCTGCTCAGCTGCCTGCTACCCTCCAGTGAGGCCAAGGTCTACAGTCGCTGTGAACTGGCCAGAGTGCTACAGGACTTCGGGCTGGACGGATACCGGGGATACAGCCTGGCTGACTGTGAGAACGCCTCTCCCTGGCTGGCCCCGGCTTCCCCATACCTCTCTTCCTCCTTCCCTCCCTCTTTCCTTCTCATTCAAGGGCTGTGGCTTCGGGAGCTTTTAGAGCCCTTCTGTAAACCGAAGAAGATTTGAGATGGCAGGTAGAGAACAGCCGGCACTGAGTTAAACATGCAGTAGGCAGGCAGCAGGCAACCAAATTGGACTCACTCCTTCATTTTCCCCTGCTGCTAAAGTCAGGGTCAAAGGAAACAAGCAGCTCAGTCCCCCTAAACTTAACCGTGGCCACTAGCATTAGACATTCCTTCTGAAATCAGAAAAGACAAACAACAGAGCAGTCATGCCAAACTTTTCCAGCTGGTGGCAGTTTTAGATGGCCACGCGGGAAGGGAAGTCACACCGGGGCTCATCTTTCCAACAGGTCCAGCGCCCTCTATAGATTCCACCTGGGTCTTCCTAATCTTGTCACTAAAGATTTAGCACTTGTAGGCTGGGCGTGGTGGCTCAGGCCTGTAATCCCAGCACTTTGGGAAGCTGAGGCAGGTGGATCACCTGAGGTCAGGAGTTTGAGATCAACCAGGCCGACATGGCGAAACCCCGCCTCTACTAAAAATACAAAAATTAGCTGGGCATGGTGGCAGGTATCTGTAATCCCAGCTACTTGGGACACTGAGACAGGAGAATCGCTTGAACTCGGGAGGCAGAAGTTGCAGTGAGCTGAGATCATGCCACTACACTGCAGCCTGGGCAACAGAGTGAGACTCCGTCTCAAAAAAAAAAAAAAAAAAAAAGAGTTAGCACTTGTAGATTAATTCAACAAATTTACTGGGCCCTACTACATGCTGAACAATGAGAAAGTGGGAAGATTGCTGGGCTAAAAGTCAAGAGGCCTGAGGTCAGCCCCGACCGCTGCTATTTGGTAGCCGATGGGAGCCTGTGTGAGTCACTGTGCACCTCTAAGCCTCGATTGATTGACTCATTTGCAAAGCAGGTGGGAAGGCACCTTCCCCAATCACCTTGATCAGGCAGGCGAGGCTGGGTGGAACCAGTGGGACCTGTGCAGTGAGTACCCTGGCCTGGGGTGGCGGTAACTGTCTGACCTCCAGGCCTGTGCTCTGCCCTATGCAGGGGTCTGCCTTGCTTATTTCACAAGCGGTTTCAACACAGCTGCTGTGGACCACGAGGCCGATGGGAGCACCAACAACGGGATCTTCCAGATCAGCAGCCGGAGGTGGTGCAGAAACCTCACCCCGAATGCTCCCAACATGTGCCGGATGTACTGCTCAGGTAGCTAGCTGGGCCTGGGCCCAGGGCTGGCAGGAGTCAGGCCCTGCATTAGCTTTTGTTTCCTTCCTAGTTTAGTTTGCTACCCGCATCTCTGAGTGAGGGTTCCCCCACATCTGGCTGGGCCCACGGAGGAGAGGGAGATGGGACAAGGGATGAGGCTAGGTCTTCCATCAGTCTGAACTGGGGTCCCAGACAGGAGACTGCCTTAGAGCTATAGGAATGGAGGGAGGATTGTTTCTGATGGAGCAGGAGAAGGATAGGGTGGAACCTGTGCTTCCAGAGTGGTTGAGACAGGCCTGGATTTAAGGGAGTGGAGTGTGTGTGTGTGTATGTATATACATATAGAGAGAGACAGATACACACATACACACACACACACACACACACACAAACTCTGGATGTCTCCTGCTCCCTCATTGTGTTTCTCTGCCTATCACCCAGATTTGTTGAATCCTAATCTCAAGGATACCGTTATCTGTGCCATGAAGATCACCCAAGAGCCTCAGGGTCTGGGTTACTGGTAAGTAACTTGGGCGGCAGCCCTGCCGCAGTGGTTTGGTTAGAACTGGTGGGCAGCAGCAGGGAACAAACCCCTTTCCTTCCTCACTTCTGGTTTAGAGCCCACACTCTCCTTCCTGTTCTTCTCTGGGCAGTGACTGGCAACTGCAGCTGATGTGATCTCTCCTCTTCCTTGTTCTCCATCCTCAGGGAGGCCTGGAGGCATCACTGCCAGGGCAAAGACCTCACTGACTGGGTGGATGGCTGTGACTTCTAGGACGGACGGAACCACACACAGCAGGTTGGGAATGTGGTTTGGTTCCTGACCCAGGCTTGGGAAGACAAGCCAAATAAAGGATGGTTGAACGTGAATGTGGCTCTCAGCTCTCAGTGTGTCTGCAGGTGTCGTGTCAGAGCCAGAGCACCTCTGTGTTCCCTCACCTCACCTGTCCGCCTGGGCTGTGCTTCAAGTGGACTCCAGAAAGTCCAGCACCAGAGGCTTACCTCCATTTCTGGTGGCCTGGGGGCAGGTATTTGCGGGGGGCACCAGTGCATTTTTTGTCCACCACACCTGGCAGAGTTTGGGTCTAGGGTGGCCAGATTTAACAAAACAAATACATAACAAACAACAAAAACAGGATGCCCCAGTTTAATTTGAACTTTGGTTATACAACAAATAATTTTAAGCATGTCCGAAATATTGCATGGGAACATATTTATATTAAAACTATTTGACGTTTATCCAGAATTTAAACTTAACTGGGTGTCCTGTGTTTTACGTGGCAACCCTAGCTGGATCTAGGGCTGTGCACCTCTGGCTTGACTGGGAAGGTCCTTGGGATACTTGTTTTCTGCAGCTTTGGTTGCAGATGGTGGTCACCGTGCTTTGGCCCTTCAGCTGTGACTACTAACACACACCCCTGTCGCCCCAGGGGTGCTGCTTCGTCGCGGGAGAAGAATGACCACCTGCAGCTTCAGCTCGCACCTTGCTCTCTAGTGCCCTCTCGTGGCGGAAGATTCAAGTGCCGCTGATAGAGACGGTGCACTCACTTTGCCCACCACTGCTAGGAGGTTGGAGGATGGGGTGGGAGTGATCGTGGCTTTCAATTCGCACAGCCAGTGCAGCCCTCTGCCTTAGTCAGCACACGGGAAGCCCAGAAAAAGACAGCGCGGTCCCCTGCTAATCTGGAACGACTGCCTCTAAAGGAGGAAGGTGGGTGGGGTCTCAGGATCACCGTGGATGTGGTGGCAAAAGCAGCAGTTGCGGGGACAGGGTGATGTGTGAGAAGCCTGAACCCTGAATTCAGATTGTAGATTCTCTGAAAAAGCTCCAAAGAAACCTGCAAGTACTGAACTGTTGGTTGAGGCATGGCTGGTGACTCTTAAGGAGAGGAGGGGAGGACAATGTCGCCCCCCACCATCCTCCTCCACCTAACTAATTCAGGCACCCTGAATGCCCCAGGGTCAGCAAACACCAGAGGGGTGTGGAATGTCCACAATGATCAAGGCAGGCCACTTTCCTTCCCCTGTTGGTCTGGTCAAGGTGATGATGAAACTTGAGAGCGACTCATGCAAGGGGACAGAGTGGTGAAGAACCCTGCTGGAAGTAGGGGCGTCAGTGACTAATGGAGCTATTAAATCATAAATAGGGAGAAGCTGCTGTCTTTTTAACATTAAGGCAAACACGATGTGCCTACCATGTGCCATGCATCATCTAATCTAGACCCTAGAACAATAGCTATGATGCAGGTACCATTATGACCACCATTCCATAGACAAGGGGAAACAGAGGCTCAGAGAAGATAAATTTGCACCCGGCTCAGTGTGACTACACATGTTATGCCCACTCACTGTGCTTTGCTGAGGGGTTGTTGTTATGGTCATCTGGCCAGGGACCCACGACCCATCCATTTTTCTTTTTTTAAAATTTATTTTTATTTTTTGCAAGACAAATTAAAAATTTTATTTATTTTTATTCGTACAACTTACAGGGTACCTATGCGATTCTGTTACACATATAGATTGCATAGTGGTCAAAACAGGGCTTTTAAAGTATCCCTCATCTGAGTAATGTATACTGTCCCCATTAAATAATTTTTCATTGTCCACCCCCCTCATACGCTACATTGTTCTGAATCTCCATTGTCTATTATTCCAGTCCTTTTTTTTTGAGATGGAGTCTCACTCTGTCGCCCAAGCTGGAGTGCAGAGGTGTGATCTCAGCTCACTGCAACCTCTGCCTCCCGGGCTCAAGTGATTCTCGTGCCTCAGCCTCCTGAGTACAGGTGTCTGCCACCACACCTGGCTAATTTTTGTACTTTTAGTAGAGATGGGATTTCACCATGTTGACCAGGCTGGTCTCGAACTCCTGACCTCATGTAATCTGCCCACCTTGGCCTCCCAAAGTGTTGAGATTATAGGCATGAGCTACTGTGCCTAGCCCCTATTATTCCACTCTTTATGTCCATGTGTACACATTTTTTCACACCCACTTAGGAGTGAGAACATGTGACATTTGACTTTCTGTCCCTGGCATTTTTCACTTAAGATAATGACCTGCAATTCCAACCATGTTGCTGCAAAAGACCTGATTTCATTCTTTTTTTAGGACTGAATAGTATTCCATTGTGTATATGTAGCGAATTCTCTTTTTCCATTCATCCATTACCCTTAGGCTGGTTCCATATCTTTGCTGTTGTGAATAGTGCTTTGATAAACATATGAATGCAGGTGTCTTTTTGACGTAATGGCTTCTTTTTCTCTGGGTAGATAGATACCCATTAGAAGGATTGATAAACTGAATGGTAGTTCTACTTTTAGTTCTGTGAGAAATCGTCATACTATTTTACACAGATGTTGTGCTAATTTACACTCCCACTAACAGTATATAAGAGTTCCCTTTTTTCTGCATCATCACCAACATTTGTTGTTTATCACCTTTTTAATAAAAGACATTCTGATTGGGGTGAGATGATATTTCATTGTGGTTTTAATTTGCATTTCCCTATGATCAGTGATGTTGAACATTTTTTCGTGTAACTGTTGACTATTTATATGTCTTCTTTAAAAATGTCTGTTTATGTCCTTTCCCCTTTTTTTTGGGAAAGGGTCTTGCTCTGTTGTCCAGGCTGGAGTGCAGTGGTTTGATCATGGCTCATGGCAGCCTTGACCTCCTGGGCTTGAGCAGTCGTCCACCTCAGCCTCCTGAGTAGCTGAGACTACAGGCATGCACCACCACACCTAGCTAATTTTTGATTTTTTATAGAGACAAGGTCTCACTATTTTGCCAATGCTGGTCTCGAACTCTGGGACTCAAGCAATCCTCCCACCTTGACCTCTGAAAGTGCTGGGATTTTAGGCATGAGCCACCATGCCTGGCTTGCCCACTTTTTAATAGGATTGTTTCTGTTTTTGTTTTTCATTTTTGAGTTGTTTGAGTTCTTTGTATATGCTAGATATTAGTCCCCTGTTGAATGAATAGTTTGCAAATATTTTCTCCCACTCTACAAGTTGTTTATTCTGTTGATTATTTCTTTTCCCGTGCAGAAGCTTTTTAGTTTAAGTCCCATTTGTCTATTTTTCATTTTGTTGCCTGTGTTTTTGAGGTCTTAGTCATAAACTCTTTACCTAGACAAATGTTCAGAATGTTCAGGAGAGTTCTCTCTAGGTTTCCTTCTAGTGTTTTTATAGTTTTGGGTCTTACATTTAAGTCTTTAATCCATCTTGAATCGATTTTTGTATATGATGAGAGACGGGGTCATTTCATTCTTCTGCATATGGCAACCCAGTTTTCCATTGAAAGAAGCGTTCTTTCCCCAATGTATGTTCTTGTCAGCTTTGTCAAAAAATCATTGGCTGTAAATATGTGGCTTTATTTCTGAGTTCTCCACCCTGTTCCACTGATCTATGAGTCTGTTTTTATACCAGTACCATGCTGTTTCGGCTACTATAGCTTTGTAATATAATTTGAAATCAGATAATGTGATGCCTGCAGCTTTGTTCTTTTTGCTTAGGATTGCTTTGGCTATTTGGGCCTTTTTTGGTTTCATACAAATTTTAGGATTTTTTTTCTAATTCTCTGGAAAATGATGTTGGTATTTTGATAGGGATTGCATTGAACTTGTAGATTGCTTTGGGAAGTATGGTCGTTTTCATGGTATGAATTCTTCCAATCCGTGGTCTGACCCATCCATCTTTGAAGGATTCGTGCCTCTACTTCAACTTCAGACTTCTGTTGCCTGCCTGGCCTGGTTGCTTCACTGGGTCCCATTCAGCTTTTCTGGGAGAGGAGCCCAAGAGTAGGTATATTGAAGCTCTTGGAACCAAAGAAAACATTGTTAAAGGATCTGGGAGCTGTGAGCAGCAATGATGGCCACAGTCTCTTCAAGATGGGGCTGGACTGGGATCGGGCATGGACAAGGGACCCTAAGGGCCTGGGCTGGGTGGTTGACCAGGAGCAGGTAAAGGCGGAGATGGAGAAGGAGTATTTAGGGAAGAGGGCCCTGATCAAAGCCAGGGAGGCCTCCCCTGTGGTGAGGGCTACAGAGTGTGCAGGCCCATCTGAATATAGAGGCCAGGGAACCTCTACGTTCAGAGCTCAGCTCCTGAGGGACATGCTCAGGTTGGTGAGAGTAACCAGGCAGTGTCCTGGTGTCTCTCTCCTTCCACGTCACTCACCCCACTTACCATGGGCCATTAAGTCCTGCCTCTTTTACTTTCTTAATATCTCTAGAAACTCTCCCTCCTTTCTATCCACATGCAGCTGCTTTGAATCAAGTCTTCATCACCTCTTCCCAAGGACAATTGCAATGGCTTCCTAAGAGTGTTCGTGTCTCTAACCTTGGTCCTTGTCACTCTACCTCCTCCCTCAGAGTGAGCTTTCTATCTTGTTTCTGCCTTCCATCATAGGCCCAATAGCTTTTCTTATCTTTGGGTTAAAGTTCAAGTTCCTTGGCTTGGTATACAAGGTCTTTCATGGCCAAGACTCAGCTGATCGCTACAGATTCAACTCTCACCTGTTTGGAAACTTTTGCTGTAGCTGATTTGTGTTCTTGGCGGTTAGTTTCCTGAGAGTAGCATGCTGCTTCATGCCTTTCATCATCACCGACCACTCTTCTCCCATTCATTACACTCTGTCCCTTGAATGCAACAAGTTGTTTGCACCACAGGGTCTCTCTGTACCTGCTCTTTTGTCTTCCTGGAATTTTATTTCCTCATATCTTTGTTTTGATTTTTTGAGACAGGGTCTCGCTCTGTTGCCCAGGCTGGAGTACAGTGGTGTGATCACAGCTCACGGCAGCCTCCTGAGTAGCTGGGACTACAGGTGGACACCACCACGCTCAACTAATATTTTGAGATTTTTGTGGAGATGC